AGCCGCCTCTGCCAATTTGGTCACTGGATTTGTGAGAATAGTTGGGGAAAGTGGGTACAGACACAAACATGTGGAATTTAGGTGGTGTATGCAGAACAATGGGGGTATCCAGGGGCATGCAAAAGACATAAAAGTAGGAAGAAATGGTTATATACTAACTCTATTAGGATTCCTGCTAAAAGGTAATTAGTATGTATTAGGTTACTGGTGATGTGATAGGTTTGCTTTAAAGTGGTGTATCCTCCCTTCTCAACTTTTACCGAAAACCAAAAAGTCAATATTAGATCCCTTTCATAAAAAGTAAAGTTACATTTAAAAATAAAATAAATGGTAGCAGGTAGAGTATTATTAAAAAGAAAAGCATGACCTGGAGAAGATGGCAGTGGAGGTGATGGAGCATCGAAGGGGAGCTCAAATCTGTCACTGCTGCAGGAGAATGCTTTGGAAAGTAACCATGCCATACTTGCACATTATGGCTTAAACACTGGAGACCTGAAGCAGGACAGTTCCTTTTACCACAGCTAGGCAGCCAATCTGTGCCTCTGTCACATACATCTAATCTCTCCCCACAACCATAACAATAATTGCCCACATCAAAACTAAGGGGTGCCCATTCTCAGTAATATGCAAGTGTTAAGGGGTCTTACGTTGACTTTCTGGTAGTCTGCAGGGGGAAAGAAAAAGGCTTTTTTTCCTTCTAATTAGAGCTTGTGATAGAACATCCCTTTCTTTGCCTTCTTATAGTAACAATGCCATATACAAGACGCATTTTCTGTGCAGTACTCAAATCAATTGCACTCTAGGGGGTATACTGATTGTGCCTTTCATAACACGGAATACTGTGAGTGCCATTGATTAAAGATTACTGCAAATAATCAGCCTTGTGCAAACCTTTCCACTAATTGAAGCTTTCTGTTATGTCATGTATGACCTTGCCAGAGGAAGAAACTATTTGGAAGCAGAGGGGAAGTTTTTTAAAATTAGCACGATTTTAATATGATTTTAATATTGCCTTTTCACTTTGAGTTTGGATTAAGACTGCCAGCGACACTAGTTTGGCAGCCACATCATTTCATTAAGATACCCAGTCATCTAGGGAAAGCTGAAATTAGGTTAAATTGCACTGGAGCTTTGACCGCTGAAGACTTTCCTTGCATAGAATAACTCTAAAGGGGTTATTTACAAAGATAGGATGAATGCAGGCCATTCACACACTTGGATTTACTGCTGTTTGCCATTATTTATAAATCTGGATGACAGAAGATGTAAAAGGTAACTGCAAATACAATTGCTTTGAAATTTTCAGTCAATATTTGGCAAATGTCAATATGTGGCATTTCTGTTGGCCAGTGAGGCAGCCCATCTATGTCACCGGCCAATAGAAATGAATGTGGGGCAGGAGGTAATGGCATGCTCCGTCTCTACCCCGAGGTGTTAGAAAAGCCCGTTATTGTGCTGTAACTGCATTCTTTGGGAGGTTCCTCCCCCTAGTTAATATGTTTTTCTTTTTTTTTCTCCTGAGTCTCTTTAAACCAGGGGTGGGCAATTAATCTTCTCAAGGGGCCACATGAGAAACTAAGACTGTTGTGGAGGGCAGAACTGATTAACGCATGGTACAACTCAATACACCTACCGTGCAGTACAGTGCAGCAGGAGCATTGCTATTCATTTGAATGACACCCCAAATTCACCTCCTGGCTGCAATACAAAAAGGTAGTGCATGCAATGCAACGTACCTGCTGCACTGTAACTCACGGTAGGTGTGTGGCATGGTATTGTGTGTTGATCGCATCGAACTGTGCGATTAACATACAGCATATGTGTGAAAGTGCCCTGAATGAAGCCTTAATGTCCTCACATAGTATGTGGCACATACACTGCTTATTTTTTTTTCTTGACAGCCCACAGGCAGGAGCCAGAAGTCGGAGCTGCAGGAGAGGATGGACACCCCCAGGAGCTGCAGGAGAGGATGGGCACTCCACCATTACGAACGTCCTCCTGTAATGTTGGGAGTGGGAAGACATTTGTTGCTGGTTGTTAGAACTGCCCAGTGGTCCTAGCAACCAATGACTGCAGAGGACATTCACAGAAGGGATGTCCTTGAGCTAGAGAGAGTCCAGAGAAGGCCAACTAAACTAATTAGGGGGCTGGAGAACCAAAGCTATAAGACATGGTTGCTAAATTTAAACTTGTTCACGCTAGGAGTGAGGCGATTAAGAGGGGACATGATTTTGATATACAAAATGTTTAGTGGAGATGGCAACATCAGTAATACATTTTTTATAGTAAACTCCATAACAACGTCTAGAGGCCACCACCTAAAATTGGTGGAGAAAAGATTTAACCACAAAAGGCATGGGGCTTCTTTTCACTTGGAGTGGTTAGCTCGGCTGCTGTGCGGGCTATTGTGAATAGGCGGCCGAAGAGAGCCGAAGCTACGGCTGGATCTTTCGGCTCTTTAGTGAATAACCCTCTATGTCCTCAAATCATCTCTGAGCTCAGAAAACTGAGGATGTCTAGTGGTTGAATTGTATTTATGCAGGGGACACTGATGGGTCAGTGTTTAAAAAATGGCCACAAATGGGTTTAAATGTGCATTAAAGAAAACCTATCCTGAAGAATTATGGAGGCTGCCGTTACTGAGGGCTCTTTCTGAAAATGCTATCTCTCTGACCATTAGGCTGATCCCAGGGATTTTATACTTTCTTAGTAACTAATCTGAAATAAGTATGCATATCAGGAGTTCTGACTCCAGGATTTTCCTAATCTGAATGCTCTCTCCAAATCAGATTTTTAGAAATGATGGGAATTATGGAAACTGAACATAGCCAACCAACAAACATTTTCAGAAGACAGTGAACAATGGCAGCCTGCATATTTCAGTCAGCAAAAGTTATCTTTAAAGGTACCAATTTTATACTGACCATTTTACACATGCTTTGACTCGAGTATGTTTAATACGATACTGGGAATTTTTTGGCAGTAAATATATTTTTTCAGCATGCACCATAAAAACAAGACTTCCCCAGAAAAGTCACATATATTTTGATGTAATAGCTATAATCATTACATTAAAGGCCATGGCCTTGTGTTCTACACCCAAAGGCACTGCCTGCATGTAGTTTCTATTTTCTGCCTATACTTACACGGGTTTCCTCCTGTTCCAGGTCTTGTTCGACAATCCAAAAATATACTGGTAAAGCATTACAGAATATTGGGACATTATATTAATTAATCAAATAGCACACTCACTTCTTCCTTCTAAACCTTAGAATAAGCCTGAGAATGCAGGCTTATCTACAGCAATGAACACGACAACTGTGCATGTCCCACCAAGCTTGTATCTCAGTATAGAGCTAGTTGACATTCACAATTAGGCAAGATGACTTGTGACTTGTTTCATAAAGGCTTAGAGCACCTAACTTATGTAATCAGTTACAAAGTTGCATTATGAGAAGATAATTAAGCAGAGTGATTGGAATTCTTACCATTGGTGTAGCCTCATTATATAGCAAAATTATAAATATGTGCCACACACGGATGCAAATATGCCATATGTTTGAAAAGCATTAGTCTCAGTAGCCAGATGCTGGAGTTACTTAGAAGAGCACACATGAAATGCTGCATTTTTCCCAATCTGGTTAGTTCTGTCTAGCGTAAAACAGGCACAATAAGGAGCACTGGGATAAATGAATGAAGTTTGAGAGTTGTGTTTACTACGCAGAACACAAGTTGAGAGTGCTGATTATTTTCTAACAATTTAAAAACATGTTTAGAACATAAAGCAGCTCTCCAAGACAACTTTTTGGAAAACAAAAAGTAGTAAATGCAGAAACATTAATCTCATGATCAATATGATTTTATCACTTTTTTTTGCATTGAATTCTGCAGTATTGCACATTCGATCCATTCATTGCAGGTGCAATCCCCAAGCTTTAGCAAGGCTTACATCCAGCCTCAGGTACGTACAGAGGTATGGACCTGGGCTTGGGGAAGTGTGGCTGGACTATAAGGGAAGAGGAGGGATCTCTAACGTGGCTCTGCAGTCCCTCTGGCGTGATACTATTTCCAATGGGCGATCCCAGTGAATGGGTGATGTCTAGTGGAGCCACAGACAGTCACACCACATGCTGTGCATGTGGAGCCACAGACAGTCACACCAAGTTCAAATAAGTAGACATTGTGGCAACAACAAGCACCCCACTATTCATGTGGGGGGAGGCAGTTTGGGTTTTATAGATGTGACTGTGCTTCATGTTACACCCTAAATATAGGAGTAACAGAAAACATGGTCAGAAAGGTAACTTAGCCTTTGATTTTATACATGAATTTATGAATGTATGCATTAGGGATTAGAATCTGGGCTAAATTGACCAGGAACCAATGTTTTTGACACATTTAACTTAAGGTTTCCACTCTAAACTAATCTGTGTGGGTCTAGTAAGTGTTCATCATGTCTGTTTTATCTGTTTTGGGTAGAGTGAGATCAGCCCCCCTCCATGTTTTGACTATTTCCAGGGACTCCAGCAGATAGCTCACTTCCTTTCCTAGCAAAGCTTTGAAAACCTGATCCCAGTCTTTTAGCCAAGCCACAACTGTCAAATGGACACTCTTCACAAATTCCCATAAGCAATCCCAAAAAAGAGTAGATCATACTGCATTTCTGTAGCCTGACCCAACTTGTGGTTTACTGAAAACTGTACAACTGTGTTCACTGTATCTGCTAACTGAACAGCATAGCCAACATTAAAGCTGGACTTCAGGCAAGCAGCTAAATGTATCACAACATGTCTCTCAAAGAACTTTCAGTCTCCACGTTGTCATTTTCTATGTGTGCATTTACAAATATGTTTAATTATTTCTTTAAGTAATACATAACAGCATTAGTAGGTGTCTTGTCATTTACCAACTGCCTGGAGTTCAGCTTTTACATTAATTAACTGATTAAGATAATTACAATCACAAAGGAAGCCAAAATCAAACAGAAGATCCTGTCTTACCCCATTCACTGGATAGGTTTTCCATCCTAATTCCCCGATAGCCGTTGTGGTGTCAAGCAGAACCACTGCAAGAAACAAACACTTTCTGTCATTATAAGTACACACTTTAAAATAAAAATGATTGCATATACTATAGGTGTATTGGCCTGCGGGATGCCATATCCATATGCGTAGAATTACATGAGGACACAAAGTAAGGCAGATTGTTTAGGTACCGAGTCTTGGAACCTATATTCCAGAATTGTTTCTGGAAACCTGAAATATAATAATGGCTGTATGTATTCCCATGGGTACAACATATTTTCCAACTGTTTTTTCACCTTGGAGGGAGAGGTAGGTGCGTATATTTTTGTATGTTTTAGAAAAACCTCAGTTATATTCCTAAAAAAGCAGAGCTTATACCCTTGAAATTATTTGAGAGAGATCTCCACCATATTGCCTATTTAGCAAACATTGTAATAATGACGTTGTTTGACCCATCTAATAAATGTATCTTCAATAGAATAAAAGCTAAATGGTGGCGGATAGGAATAATGAACTAGATGTGGATTCACAAATGATAATATTTTTAACGTTTCAATTGTTTTTTTTAATAAACTTTATATTTTTTTGTAAACTATGTAATGTCTTAACTGGGTAATTAAAAAGTATGCCTTACTTTGTGTCCTCAGTTAAGTAAAGAGAAAGAAAAATGAAACATCCACTAATGAATTTTTGCAGGAGGTAGGCATTTTCAACATTTTGACTACAGGTTTCACAGGCAGATTATACTTGCGGTATGTTGAAAATTGCTGTTTTTTATACTTTTTCTTCCAGTGTGTAAAGTCTTCATAGGATAGGAGCACCTGACAGATGTCTCTCCCATCCTCATACCCTTTTCTCCTGGCCACAGAACCAGAATTACCCATAAGATTCCATAGCCATGTATTTTAATACGGTATTTTTTTGCTTCACAGCTTGAACAAGGGCATTGCAGGCTATGCTATATTTAGTCTAAATTTCAATAATGTAGCCTTTGTATGTGTTAATGATTGGGCAGTCTCATCATCCTCTGTGAGTGTTTCACTAGCTAAAAGTCAGTTTAATAACCCTTAATTTTATGGTATAATGGCTTGAGTAGCAATTACATACTGTATAACTTTTATTTTTTAGCAAAAATTAGTTTTCCATTACATGAGCCATCTCTACTGAGATAACTTAACCTTTGACTGTTCTACTGCAGATTAAAGAAAGTTGAGGGTAGATATGTCCTCACAAACGCACACAAATATGACCTTTGCCACTTTGTGTTTCTTTCATTGCAGTTGCCATAGCATAGATGTATATAATACAGAATATGTTTTCTAAAGTGATCATATGCCCATGGAATAATTCCGGGGGAAAAATTAGCTGAAAAAGTCCTTTTACTGAGAAGTTAGAATAAAAGTGGGCATAAGTTCCGGGTTTGGCTTGAGCAGAACCCAGCCTGTTCACAGTAAGGCGAACAAAATGGGCACATTTGATCAGTTGGCCCACCCAAACCTCTGGCTGATACAACTAAAAGTTACTCATATACTTGCAGTATTGGTGCTAACAATTCAGTGCTGATATCCTTTGCAACTGGAGTAACAACAGGGCTACACTCCAAATGTTGATGGCACGTGGGATGGTATGGTAAAAGTATGTGGTACACACTCGCTGCATATCTGGATAAGGATCTGGTATGGATTTGCTGTGCTGTTTTTACCACAATAAGCAGAATGTGGAAGGATCTGTCATTTGGCCATTGTAGTTTTTTTTATCAACATCGCTTTTGCAGGAATACTTTGTACTGGTGCACAACTTCACTTACAGTTTTAAAGTGGATCTTTACCCAAATCTTTAAAATCACAGCAAAGACACCTTTATCAATGTTTAGTAATGACAATCTACAAACACATACTTCTAAAAAATTACCGACTTTGTATGCTTTGTATACCTTATTTTTATTTTCTTCCCCAGTCTTCTGACAGTGGCCATGTTTACTAAGGGCAGATTACTAGATCTCCTTTTACTTCCTGGATTTCTGGCAGATGTGACTAGACATGTGACTAGGACATGTGACCATGCACATCATTTCAGGTGAAGAAAATGCCTTTCCCAGAGATCTCGTGAGACTACAGATGAGATTTCTCAGCAATGCTCTGCTGATGACAAGGCAATCCCAGTGAGCATTGCTTTGGCAAACTGAAGCAAACAGGAAGTGGATGCTCTCCAAGTGTAAGCATTTCAAAATCACAGCATTTTAAACCTGACGTGTCTATGTTATTATTAATCATCATACATAGAGCAATGCATTGTTACAATTTGATTTTTGAGTGTAAAGGTCCGCTTTAAGGCAATTCAAAGCATGGCATTTAAAGGAATTGTACATTTTTAATGTTGCCTTTTAAAAGGCATTAAAAAAATAGAACCCGACTAAACAGTATTTGTTTTGGTATGCCTTGGTACATTTCTCTCATGGAAGTGCCCAGCTGCCCATGCTATGCAAAAGTTATCATAATGTCTGTAATGTACTCTCTTTTATTTTAAATGTGTTATTAAGGATTTTAGGATAATACTTAGCCTTGCAGCTTTAATTTTGTATACATTATTTCTTTTAAAAAGCAAAATTGTTGATCTGATATTTAAACTGTAAAAATAAATAAATCAGAAAAGCAACAGCCACAACAAAAAAAGTTTTTAAAAAGGCATATGAAGCAAATTGTGAGAAAAAAATATTCGAGGCACATTGATATGCCTTGAGCAAAAGGCCAAAAATGTAAAGCTTTATTGCTTGCAGTTTAGTGAAAGTTGTATCACTAGTAGAAAGTCTCCATAGAGAATCTTCAATACGAGTCAAGTATCTCAATAAAAATATTTTAAGTATAAGTGCACTTTAAAACACTTATTTTGCCCCCTTCCTTTGAACTAATGTAATCCACCCTCCCCCTTCACAGATGCATACTTGAATAATCTAATGGCTGCTGTTTCTGCTGTTGGTTTACATCCAGTGGTTCAAGTCTTCACTGTCCTGGCCGTGTTTGTGTATTAGTGCCCCATAGTCTTTTATGGGGCTGTGTCATGGGGCCAGAGATGATCTGAGACATCTCTGGCCTCAGTAGGGAATGCATATAGCTAACATTTAACGGAGAACTATGAGGTGAGTGTTTTTCACTCACCTCATAGTTCTAGCCGACCTGTGACAATGAGACTGTCACAGGTCGGCTCAGTAGATTGGGAGGTGAGCGAACACATACCGGGTTCGCTCACCTCTCGATCCTGTCACGGCTCTCTGCTGTGACAGGGGGAGGGGCTGGATTCCCCTCTCCCCGCTCCGATCTGCCAGCGCTGACTGGCGGAACGGACGGGGGAGGGGGCGGGTACAGCTGGCTCTGCCTCTGAATAGGCAGAGCCAGCTGTCACTCACGCAGCTGGGCGGATCCCGTCGATCCGCTCCGGCATCTCAGTATACCGCGAGCTGTAGCTCGCGGTATACTGAGCTTAGGGTAACGGGAGGATGCTAGTTTGTGTCCTCCCGTTACCCTAAGGAGAACTATGGGGAAAAACACTGACCCCATAGTTCTCCTTTAAGTCTCTTTTTTAGAAGCTCAGCTCACTCTGCTTTCCCTTCCACCAGTGACTGGGGAGCATTCCAGCCTTCAAATCTCTCAAGCAAAAACAGAGTAGGGACGAGGAGGGGGATCAGGGTGAGCTGAAGGTTAAATAAAATAACGACTTTAGTGCTTCCTCTGTGAGCTTTGAGGATAAATTGCTCCACATTACCTGCGACTGTATAGGTAACAAGGGCTTATTGTAAAGCTCATATATTGCTTGTTAAAAATGTGAAATGAAAGAATGAAAGTGCATAGCCTGGCCACAGGTTTATTTTCAAGTCTTCTAAGAGGATGATGTAAGAGTCATCAAAGGGAGCTGAGAGATGCATGTAGCTAAGAATCATTGGTGGGATGCACCTACTGTAAGTATAACAATTGTTTTGTCCTCTTAAGTTTGAGATGTATGTGTATGCATGCACACACCGAGTTATTTTTCTTGCATTAAAGATAATTATTTATTTGTTCCTATTGGCTGACCTGGTGGCATTGTCTATATACCTTTAAAACCTTTTTTTTTTTAAATGTAATTTAATATCACTAGCACTCTGTTTCTTTTACAGCTTTATTTTTTGCTATCTTAATTTCCTTCTGTTAACGTAAATGCTTTTCTTTTGTGCCTTATTAAATAAAGA